TTATAAGAGGTATATTGATCAATAGCATCTATATTCTATAAGGACAAAAAATTGCATTGACTGCAAACTTAGCAGAAAGCTATTAAAAGGGAATAGATTTCATCAAATTTGATCACAACCTATTATTTTAACAATATTTTTTCCAATAGATTGCTCTTGTGTACAACTCTATTTTTCACAGAAATATTGAATATAGATGTTTCAAATATTCATATTTCATAAGCATTCTCTGTTTTGGAATTATTTTTCCAACTCTATCTCTTCCTTTTCTTCTTAATACTACACTGATGTTGTAGTTGTTTAATAATTAAATTTAATACTCTGATTTAAATTATTAATTTATTATTATTATTTAGAATTGGATATGTTTGCAAAAATGATAAAAGGGAAAAATGGCCTATGTTCCCCTCCCATTCGTGGATTTAAAAAAAAATCTGGTTGGCTACAAAAAACACCAGTTTGTGCCTTTAAACTAAAAAGCAGAAGCATCTAGTGCCCAAGGAACAGAACATTAAGTAAACACTTCAGAGTGTTATCTGGAGGTGCCAATTTCTATATAGAGTGGCCAAAGTCTAATATTTAAAAATGCAGGCAGTTATGTTTAAATAAACAGAATATAATGTGGCTGGTAATAATGGAGTTTCATGCATATCCAATCTTATATATCAGCTTTATATATCTTATATATTACTTTTATCCAAAAATAAAACATCACATATCTCCAACCTTCGCTGCTGTTTCATGCATTACATAACTCATACTTGGTATCACTTGCATAAGAGAATTATCAGTTAGTTGGGTGGTCAATAATCATCCCAGAAGGTAATAATAGGAAATTATTTCCATCCTGCTGCCAAGAAAACTATAAGGCTGTACCAGGAGTCTATATGAATAAACCTTTTAAGTTATAAAAAGCACCCTAAATGATGCGTCTTTCTTTCTCCTTATGTTTCCCTTATTTGTATGTCACAAATTGTTTAATGTTATGTTAAAAATTCAGTAACTTAAAGTAATAAACTACAATTAGAATAATACAGGATGAAGAACCTGTTAGGAATTGATAATCACCTAACAGTTGGGTTGGAAATATATAAACCAGGATAGACATTTAATACTGTCTCTTTAAGGGAATGCTAAAATTGTAATTGGGTGTGGTTCCTCAAACGGCCATAAGATGGAGCCAGAAACCTGGGTTGTTAGTTCTGTTGTTGTTTGTTGCTAGTTGCTAGATGTTCTGATGGTCGATGTTTTTGGTTCCTGCATTTTTCCCTACTGACTGTTGCTGATCGTCGTTCTTCTTGGATTGCTGTGAGTCTATTTACTGAACTGTTTATGATATTGGACTTTGATTTTGGATTATCCCTGGACTGAATACTGACTGCTTTAACCGTGTATGACTTGGACTGCTTGTTGGACTTTGCTTAACCGTTTACTGGAAGTAAAACCTACATTTTACTATTCAGTGTATCTATGTGCTGGTCGTGTGTTATTCAACATTACTCTCACGTTTCCTTGTGTGCACTCATTCTCCTAACGGGGAATTACCTCAACAGAACCCATTGCTATTATAATTAAATCTGCAAATAGCACCTGTTGGCAACCACTTCAACCAAATGTGCTGTCCTAGGAGGAAGGGAATTTTTAGAAAAGTGCTGCTAATAGCTGCCACTTGTGTGCCCATGCTCATTATTTTAATCTGGATCATTGCACAGTTCTGCTATTGTAGAAATAACTTGAAAAAGGGACTGAAAGGAAATATATCTTTATATACACAACTGCAGAGACCTCTAGTGGCTAGCCAACATTTAGTGGTGGTTTAAAGAGAAAGCTATCTTAGCATAACTTCCCTAGACTTTATGCCCCAATGCCAGGGTTAATCTTTAAGGCAAGGAACTGGTATAAAATTTTTCTCAGGAAAAAACATCACTTGCACTTTGAATGAGGTATATGAGATCACCATTCCAACAGTAAATGAAGTCAAGACAAAAACTAAATTTGGTTTCATTATAATTCAAAGCAAAGGATACAAATTAGAAACATAACATCACAATGATACAAAATGATATTTCAAAGAAGGACTAAGGCAAGTCAACACCACCCTTCTCCAGAACAGACGGATTCCTCTCATTCCAATAAGAATTCTTGGAACCTATGTGACCGTTTTTTGAAATCCTAGCTTCATTGGATCCCTTTTGAAGTGGGTGTTATGCCGTCAAAAGGAGAACAGCAACAAGAACCCTGCCTACATTCTCAGGCCCAATAGGCTCAAACTCCTTCCAGATTACCTGACATCTTCCCCCAAATCCCCAATTGTGCTCCACCAAGCCCCTCTACTTGGTCCCTCACTCCAGGAACTCTGTTCAGATGATCCATCTTTTTATCTGGAGAAGGATGTCACTCTCTCCCCTTATCATTACCAAGTACATTCTTCTCAAAACTCCGTTTCAACTATTCTGTTTCCTCAGAAAAGCACAGGTTTTCTTCTCATTGTCTTCAGGCAATTCGGAACCAACCACCAACAGTCCTTGGAGCACTCTCCACCATGCTTCCAATTTCACTCCTTCATTGGCTGGAGTTCTTTTTCCCAGAACAGATCTCAGAATGGCCATCTTCTTATTCTCCCTTTTTTTCTGGAAAGTCATAAGTAATCAGATGCCAGCTATGCCAGCAATGAGAGTCACTCAAAAGGCAAAACTAAAATTAATGTGTGACCCCAATCCCACTGTCTATACTATCCTACTGCGACACAACGATGCCCGAGCATCTAATACTCTCCAACTTTCCCAGCTCACTTGTTCTCTCATAGCCAATGTTCTTTAATTAGGAAAATCTGCTGATCCAATGACAAATACTGGCATTCCAATACACCTTTTCCTCCACATATTCTGTTTTTTCCTGTCCTTTTCCACTTTCCCTCCCAACAGCTCATCTGTTCTTCACTAAAAGAGCATACAGTATTAAATTTAACATTCCCAAATTCCATCAGTGACAAAACTCCTTCATTTTCACTATTCCTTCCCAAACATCTACCATTTTCCAGTACCAGGCTACCAAAATACTACATAGTTAAAGAAATATTCTGCCACATTAACAATTACAAGGTGCTGCACTAGCACAGAGGACATGCAAGTTCTAGGCTATTCTCCACCAAGGATGCTAACTAGGTGGCTGACTTTGAGCCAGTTATTCTTTTTTTAACATACCTCGAAGATTTTTAGTTGTGGGGAAAAAATGGGAGGATGGAGCACTCTGTATTCTGCTTTGAGCTCCTGAGCAAAAATAAGGATATAAAAGTAACAAATTAATTAAATGTCAACTTTTAGAATCCTTGGAGACAAATGCAATCCAAAAAACAGCTATCTGTTCATCCTTTTTAAATATGCCCAAATCTCTAATTATTTTAAACATGTCATAACAGAATTATTCTATTTAATGTTAAGCCAAGATTTATATATAAGACACTATCATTTTAGGCTGTTCTTATTTCCCATATGTAACTAAAACACACATTTCTTTTAAAAACCTTTACATTGGAAACAGGAGCCTATGACACAAGACATGTTGCCTGACAATATTCACAACCAGCATGGCCCCTAGGGAGGTCAGTTTCCCTGTGCCTGCTTCAAATTATTTTTTGGAACTAATCTTACCATCCACTGATAATATTGCAAAATGTCACTAATAAAAACAGTTGTAGGCTTGCAAAACAAGCCTTAATAGCTGGCAGCAACTAACCCTCATCTTAGTGTGGAAGTTGAGCAGAATTGGGATGTTAAAACAGCAACTGAGAAGACACTTTCATCTTGTGAAAGTAGCAATATAATAAGACCTTACAAGCTGCTCCAGAATGTGGTCAGGGAAACAATATCTCTGCTCAGGGTCTACTAGTTACAAGTGAGAATCCAGGTATAATTCTAATTGGTAGTTGTGATTCGGAAAGTTCAACATGATTATCTACAATACTGCCTTTCTCCAATTGTTGCTGCTCACCCTATAAGATCATTTAAACAATGCTTCCTTGTGAGATGCCAGAAATGTGCCTTCTCTGTTGCCATTCTTAGAATATTATTTTCCAGAAGTCCACTTGGACTCATCCCTCTCAGCAGTAGAAAGGTATCAAGACTTAGCTTTTCACACAGGCCATGAACTGAAGTGTTTACTCATATTGATGAATGAGCAAGGATGACTGAATTTTTTCTTTATGTACTTCCTCATAGCATTATTTACTTTTGATACTGTTTGCTTTCCGATTATTTTAGCAGTGTTTCAAAGCAAACATTCCATTGAGTCTCTGATTGGCAGCTATATAAATCTAACAAGTATGTTGCAAAAAAAAAAAATTAGATACTCAAGGTTCAGTGAGTTCAGGGTTTCCCAACCTTGGCAATTTTAAGTGTGTGGATTTCAGCTCTCCAACCAACCATGCATGGATGCTGAAGCACACTGCACAGTATCTTTTTTAAAAAGAGAAACAGAAAACACATATACATACATACATACACACACATATAGCATATGTATGTGTGGATGTATGTGTATATATGTATTTGCTTTTGAGAGCAGGCATCATAATTTCATTTTTTTAATGTGTGCCAGTGTGTTCACAGAAAAAAGTGACAATAAAGCTTATTTTATCTTACTACTTTATGAATAATTTACACACAGTTAACTAAATACTTGCTTGACAAATAAAATAAATTAAAAAAAAATAAAACTAATTCAGCCACGCTATTTAGATAATTATTATAAAGCGAACATAAGACCTAGTTCCAAAGTTATCAACGGGGATAACCATCTCCTGTGTCCTCAGCCTCCGGAGAGAGAGAGAGATCCACTTGGACAATAAACACTGAGATACTACCATCCTAACTCTAAACTTAGCATTGAGTGACAAATCGGGACGGATATCCACATTCACGACCAAATAAGGGAGCCCGTCTCCCGTGAACGGCGCATGCGCGATATTAGGCGCGCCTCCTCCGCGTGGGCCGCTCACCTCCATACACAGGAAGTGGAGTTCTTCCTGAGGGAGTCCACCTGCGGCCAAGCCTTTCTCGCTTCGCGAAAGGGTCGCTTCTCCCTCGTGGCCTTTTTCTGCGCTCTGCTGTTTCCGCCATGGCGGACGCTGAGCCGACGGCGGCCGGTCGGTCGCTCACCGAAGACGAAATGGCGGAGGTGAAAAAGGAAGTAAGAGAGGCGAAGCAGCAGCGGCGGTGGCGGGGGCTGGTGGTGATGTTTGCTCTGAAGGCGGCGAGCGCGCGACTGGGGAGGGTTGGGCGCGCGCGTGCTTGCTTGCTTGGCTCAAGGTGGCCTGGAGTTCCTTGTTTGGGGGAAAGGGGGCGCTCCCTCCGTGATGATAGGGGGTCCTTAAAACGTCGAAGGCAGGGGTGGAAGCGCAGTGGTTGCCATGGCGTCGGCGTGTCAAGTTTCCGCGTGGCGGCGGATTGGCGGTTGGTCTTCCGAGTGTCGGCGGCGCGGGGAATTCCGCCAGGTGTGGCCTTTCCTGCCGCTGCGACGTCATTGCTGCCTTTGCGTGGGGCTCTCTGTAAGGCGCCTTCGTTCTGCTGACTGGAAAGCTTCAAGCATCGCCTGGTGGGATGCTGGCTTTGTCTCCATCTGCTGGCAGCAGAAGGACGAAATGTGTTACAATTTGGGGAGGGAGCCTTCTTTTTGATATTAATACAGGTGGTCCGCGATTTACAGCCGTTTTTCACACTTATGACCATCACAGCATCCCCATGGTCATATAATTTCCATTCAGATGCTTGGCAAGCGGTTGGCATTGACGGTCACAGAATCCTCTTTTGTGACTTTCTGACAAGCAAAGTCAATGGGGAAGCCAGATTCACTTAACAACCGGGTTACTAATTTAACAACTGCAGTGATTCACTTAATAAATGTGGCAAGAAAAGTCATAAAATGAGGCAAAACTCACTTAACAAAATTATCATTTAGCACCATACATTTCTGGCACAATTGTGGTAAGGTGAAGACTACCTGTATATTTATTAAAGCATGTTTCCCCGTCAGAGTTTTAAAATGGACAAATGAGAATTAAAAAATTAACAGCAAATAAAAAAGTCTCTTTGTTTATAGTAAATGTCAATAGGTTTTAAGAGCAGGAGGCAATTCTGAATCTATTCAGATGTCTCTTGACTTTTTTATTTTATTTACTAGACTTGTTTGCTGCCTATCTTTTCTGAGTGATTTACAGCATTTATAACATAAATGCCTAACATAATAGCAACAAAATGAATTATTTCCTAAATTTATCCCCTTCCTCCTCAAGTGACAAAGAGTAGATGCCCAAAGCCCCCAGTTTGAATTCCCAGAAACTATAATTAAATGCATCAATTAACAACCCAAAGAGACCATTCAAAAGTTACTAAGTGGACTCTGTTTCCATCCCTCTTTACTCTTAGACCAGGGGATCCTAAATCTTTTGCCATCACAGCTCCTTTTAGTGTAATCTTAATGTACACTTGCCTCTCATAAAAATCCAAATCCACCAAAATGGACAAAGAAAACAATGCAATGAAATTTTGTTTCTAATTATATTTAAAAAAAAAAAAAGATATTGCCTCCTTTATCATTTTTGGAAAGGGGGATTTATGGTAACAATGTAGAACGAAGAGGTTCTTCACACCTCTCCTGAATTCTGTCTCACCTCCCTAAGGTAGGTAAACCTTACAGTTTGGGTAATCCTGTCCTAGAAGTTCCAGGTGGTGTTTATAGCACTTCCTCCTCAGATTTGCATATAACAGTTGGGTCCTTCTGAGATAGTACATAAAAGATAACTAGTTCAAACTCATCCAGGGTACTTCAGTAGTGAAGGATATATTTGATTCTTGGTCTCCACTGTCTTTATTTCACATCTTAACTGCTACACCATACTAGATTTCCTTTCAATGTTTGATTCATTCTCCTTGTTCTTCCAGGCCCTTTTGTTTTCCTTAATGGATAAATGTCTCCAAATCTACTTTTCTGTTTTTCCTGGAGTGTTTATAGGAATTCCCCTTGCTAATCTCTGACTGTTACACATGAATGAGTCAGTGGAAGTTGATTTTGCCTAGCAAAAAGTTTTTCTAGCAAAAAGTATAGATCTACAATATATAGAATATTCACTTTTTGTTCAAGATCATAAGTCAATTTCTCTTGTGATCTTCTAGATTGTATTTATTGTTTTATATTGGAACTGTAGTCAGAGAATAATATATTACATTTTAAATAGACATTAGATAAGTACATTAAATAATACATTAAATAATATTTTGAACTCCATTGTAATTTCCCATACCTGGCAGCAGCCACCTTCATCACATTTGGGTTGAACCTTAATAGCCTCAACACCTGGCAGTAATCATTTTTGCTTGCCTCAGTGGCCACCTACATACCTTTGCCCACCTGGCAACAGCCATCCTTATTCCTACCATCCTTACACCAAACCACTCTGCCCACTTACACCCCCTTGCACACTCCTCCACATAATAGCAGTCACCCCTACTGCATTCATGCCACACCTTGATGGCTACCAACTGCATGCTGGCCATTCCTCACTCACTTTCATCCAGCAGCAGCTACTTACCTACTTGCTGGCTTACTTGCCAGCCCCGGGACTTATGACTTCCTGAACATTAAGACTTCCCATTGGCTTTCCTTGTGACTGATACAAAGAAGATCAAACAAAAATGGAGTATACTGAAATATTGTACAGTAGTGATGTCAACATTCAAGATTCCTTGGAATATTCTTTCTTACAAGAATCTCTAATATTAGAATTTAAAGTTAGAGCACCATTCTAATATTACCAAGTCAGAAGACTATAAGAACTGATAGAATACTCATGGAAATATAGCAAACAATATTATTTGTAAACCACCCTGAGTTGTTTAGATAGTCAGATAGACAGCATAATGTGTATCATTTATTTTATTAATAAAAAAAGAATCAGTAAAGGTTCTAACCAAGCTACACCAGCAAATTTTGAGAATGAAGGCAATTTAATTGAATAAAACAAGTTTTGACAGAGCTTGCAACTTATCACACAATATTCTTTATTTCAGATGCTAGCAAAATAATGTTTAGTTTGGCAAAGGAACTGGAAAAGTTGGAATCCATTCAGAAATGTATCATGTTGAACTCTATAGCAAATGTTTGTATCATAAATTGTTTTATTTTTTATGTCATAAATGTTATATGTCATATATTTTTTGTAAAATTTGCCAAATTTCAGGTCCATGGGAGTTATCCCATGTTGTGGATGCATTCTGTAAGGCCATTTGAGCAACCTTAGTTCAAAAATTGTTGCCCTAGTTAAATGTTACTGAAATGAGAGTATAGCTAGTATAGTATATAGTAGTATAATTATAAAGCATGTTAGTCTTTACCAAAGATTGTGAACTTCCATTCCTTTTTAGTGTTAGTACTTTGCGATGTTTGATTGTTAGTTCAGTAATCCTTATATTAGTTCCAGGAAAAAAAATTATCTCATGAACAGAATTGAAATTTGAATCCAAGATATGACTGACTCATTCTTGATAAGATACAGTACAGCAAATTCTAATTAAAACTTATTTGTCAGGGATTATTTATGATCCATTGCTCCTTCATAGTAATACAAAGAATAATTTATGCTTTGATAAAGTTCATCTTTTATTAACTCTTATTTTTAATGCTAGGTTTTAGAACGATTACGCCGCTATCTGTGTGACAAAATAATTGCAGAAAGACACTTCGACTACCTACGTTCAAAGAAAATATTGAGTAGAGAGGATACTGAAGAAATCTCTTGTCGAACCTCAAGTAGGAAAAAGGCTGGGAAACTGCTGGATTATTTAGCAGAACATCCAAAAGGACTAGACACATTGATAGAATCTATCAAATGTGAAAAAACACAAAACTTCCTGTTAGAAAAAATAACTGATGCCGTCTTGAAAGCAAAAAATGAAAAACTTGAAAGTCTTAAAGGTATTGTTAAATATCTGAATATTATATATTTTTAAAGGACATAAAATATGTAGCTACAAAGCCTATTCCTATGCATATTTACTTTTAAGTATGTTGCTATGAATTCTGTAAGTTACAAACAAGGTAAATCAAAATAATTTGCCTTCCTTTGAATCAATGAAGGAGTAGAAATTTAAAAATAATGATATGTATTCAATTATAAGAGCTACACAATAATTTTAAAAGCACACTTTGATTGACAACCTAGCTTCATTCCCTTGAGGTCTTTATTTTGTGCTGAAATGGTGTAATGTATTATTATCATGTCCTTATAGAATATTTCTGATTCTCAGGCATTGTGAATGTTGAAGTAGACTAGACAGTGATAGAGCACTTGTCACAAGTGGTTATGTTTATTGTATGACAGTAGCAAAATCAGAAGCCGCCTTTTGTTGCCTCTGTTGCATTTACTAGTAGTGTATCATGTGAGTTTAATTTGAATGGTGCAAAGGTTACTAACCTTCAGGGATTATATATATTTAGAAAATTGAGTAAGAATTTCTCAGTTCATATTTCTTTTGGGCACAAGATATTAAAATGGTGATAGCAGTTGGGCTTCTGTTATTCTTAGAGGAAAGTGATTGTCTACATCTATTTGTGGGAGTTCTGGTCTGATTTTTACTTTGTTTCCCAGATAGACAACGTAGCATTAAGAGAGTGCAATCCTATTAGCTTAGTTGGAAGCTTAAAGTGTTGTATATTACATTGTGGTTCATTCAAGGTTGCAAGTATCATTGGGTTAACTTTTAATTTTCTGGCAGTTTTGCCCAGAAATATCACAAGGAGCTATTTTCTCTCCAGTGTTAAGTCAGTTGGGGAAGTCCCCAGGAGATGTGGAGCACAGTGTGTCCACTTGGTTGATGGCATGAATACAGTTTTTCCCTCCAAAAGAAGCTGTAGAGACATTGAGATGTCTGTAACTGGATGAGTGTATTAAAATGGGAATTTTATGGATGCTTAATTCCAAGTCCCTGAAAATACAGTTTTCCTGATGTAGGTGGGATTGGTCTCTGTTCAGCAGAGAAAAAGTTTATAAAATAATTGTTCCTAAGATCCCAGGGATATAAAGCTCATTACTATCCAAGACTTAACATTTGGTTAGTATGCCAACTACTGCTGTTCTTGGACAGAAACAGCTTCATTTTTTTTGTACCCCAGCACTGATAACTTCCTATATTAATTATTGCAATGTGCTATAAATGGTGCTCCTCTTAAGCATCATCCAAAATTGTTGCTATATAACCCTATAGTTAAAAGGTCTGTATTGGTCACCAATTTTCCACATGGACAAGATTTCATATTAATAACTTCGAGATCCCAAATAAATGTTTTATAAATACTTAGCGACCTGATTCACAGAGCTGTATAGGCAGTTTGCATCATAACTAGGGTTTCCAGATATTTTCTTTCCAAATGATCTCATTTCTTCAAGAAATAACAATAGAGGTTGTTTCTTCAGCTGAACTTTATTTATTAATTTTATATGCCATCCATCTCATTGGCAAGAGAATCTGGGTGGGATAAAAATTCCATTTAAATCTGAAATTCCAAAAAAGCAATGAAGTTAAATAGATAAAAATGTGTCAAAGTGATGCAAGTTATAGCAATAGTTAAAATATCTTTTACAAGTATATAAGTAATCCAATTTTTTTTTTTACAGGAACATGTTGTACCAACTGCATGGCTTTAGTATGTGAGCAAGCAAGCAATATCTCTAGATCGCAGTCAAATGACTCTAATTTTTTTGAAAAACAAAGAGACAGAGAAAACACCTACCTTCATCCAGAAGAATATAGTACAGCTGCTTTTGTATCTGCTTCTTCTCTTTGTTCAATGAATTTACCTATTACAGAGGTTGGAAACATGGAAAATTCAGTTTTCTCTACTCTTCCTGGACCTGGAGATCCTGGAGCACCTCCTATTCCAACAGAATTGCAGAGTGAGCAAGAGGAAATATCCACCACTTCCAGTGACAATCCCTTTCTACCTTTACGATCCCGCTCAATTCTTCCATAGTGGTGGTTTTTCTTGAACAACTTTGAAAAGATAAATATTGTGTTGGATGTTGCCTTATATACTTTTTTGCAAAAAAAAGTTTTATCTGTAAAATTTCTTACTGTACTTGGTTGTATTGCTTTTGAAAACTGAAAGTAGGCATTTGCCAAAAAATATTCATGTTTAAGTAATCATGAAGCTGCTTGTATTATGCAAATTATAATACAACCCTGTACATAAATATTCAGAAGTAAGCCCCACTGATTTCAAAGGGATTTATAAGTAAGTAAATAGCAGCCTTGCTATATTGAAAAACAATATGGGAATACCTAAAAAGATTTAATATTTCTACACTTTAGTAAAAAGTTTACTATGTTCATTCAGTTCATAATATCAGACAACTTCATTTTCTTCTTACATAGTGGCAGACAAAATAGTTGCAGAAATTATGTCACATAGATTCCTGATTACTGTACTAAAAGGTTTATCTAATTATGCAAATCAATCACAAGGACAATTATTTTGCATAGAGAAACTCCAGATTGATGTTTGGAGTTAATTTCTCTTACAGCTATTACCTTGGAATAAAGTTTTCAACTGAAAACAGTTCAGTTGCACTGAGCACTCTTGGGGCCATGGTGGCTCACGTGATGAGACGCTGAGGTTACGCACCGCTGAAGCTGACAACTCGGCTTGATTCCCGTGAGTAAATAAACCGCAGAGGGACAAGGAAGGAGCCTCTCCTGATTGCCTACCGGCAATAAGGCATCCCAAGGGTAAAGATAACACCGCCCGAAAAAATTCCTTTCTACAGAGGCAGCCTTGGTGATCCCTGGCTAACACGTGCCATAGGCTAAATAAATAATAAATAAAAACTGAACACTTAAGAAAATATTCTTAATGTTCAAAAAATATTGCATTCTGTTGAACAGAAGGATCAGGAAGTAATGAGAACCTCAGCAAAAAGGGACATACTTCTGAATTACAGTATCATGACTATTTGAAGATTGATTGGTCTCATACAGGTGCTCCTTGTTTATTGGTTGTTCACTGACCTGCTAAATGAGTGGTGCTTAATCCATAAAATTCTGGCTGTTTTGGCGCACATACGCACCCGCAGTCACCTGAACGTAATCCAGGCAGCCTGCAATCATCACTGCATCCCACAGTCATGTGATCCTAATTTGCTACCTTCCTGCTTCTGACAAGCAAAATCGAGGAAGCTGGTAGTTGCAATAATTTGATGTCCTTGCTTAACATCTTGTACAGTCTTGTTTAACAGTGTAACTAGAGATTTCTGGAAATGCCAATAACTAAGCAGTATGGTCATGTGATGTACTTTACAATTGCATCACATGATGGAAAGTCCAAATATCGCTTTAAACAAGGATTATCTTTTATTCTGAATTATTGAATTATCCAAGTATAAAAGTAGAAAACTATAGCAATTAAGAAATCCCTTTTGAATTGGGGAGTTTATAAGATGTTAGGCATTAAATGTATTTAATTCTTTAAGAATTGGAGCGTAAAATATCTGTAGCATACTTACTTGACTAAGTTTGAGCTTAGTGGAGCTTACTTCTAGTGGATATAGTTTAAGTTTGCACTTTTACAATCTTGAGAATATTTCTAAAATGAAACTTCTCAATTTTCTTGCTTATTTCTCAAGGTGAAACAATGTTTTGTTGGACACATAATTTGTACTATGCCATCTCAGGGAATATAAAATATTTCATTTTTTTTCTCATGGCTTGATGAGGTGCAACACTGTAAAGAAGATATTCAGTTTAAAGGATATTTATTTTCTAGGTAGCATAAAACATTTCTTTCTCTTTTGCCATTTTTGTTTCTGGGCCAATAACAAACAGTACTTTAGATTAAATTCAAATTTTACTAGCCAAAAGAAAAACAACTTCCATGGGCTTCTGGGACAGCAAAAGTTTTATTTAAAAAATGTTCTACAACATTTTGTATAAAACTGCAGCAAGTTATCTAAATTAAATAAGTAGTTTTGGGTTTGCACATTATTTAGAAAACTATCTTGCTGAGTTCTGTAGAACTTGTTCTCAGACATGCATAAGATTACAGGCCAGCTTTTTAAAAAGACTATATCATGGGTGATCAGCCTTTTGGCTTGCCTGGGCTGCATTGAGCGAAGAGGAATTGTCTTAGAGCAGGGGTGTAAAACTCACGTTACGATGGCATGTGACATATCAGGACTTTCCCCCCCTTCACTAAACCAGGTATGGGCGTGACACATCTGGCCGTGGGCCGGGAGTTTGACAGCCCTGTCTTAGAGCAAATTTAAAATATATACTTAACATATATAAATCACAATGTTAAAAGCTTATAATCTTTTGGGGTCACGTTACTAGCTGTCTAAGGCTGAAACCTGTTCTATATGACTTCAGATTGGTGCTAAGTTGTGTTATACAGTGCACTGCCCATGTTTTAGGACACAACTGTGTCCACAATCAAATCTAATTGATTTTTAGATCTATAATCTGACCATTTCTTTAACAGCTTTTTAACTCAAATGCTACCTCAGCTCAAACTTCCATGATGTTTTACAGAGCATGAACTTCTTTGTTTGACTACTAATTGCAGATGTTGCCAGATTTATAAGAAAATACTGTATTTGCATACTTATGAACTGATTGTCACTATTACTGTCATATTTTCTTTAAAAAAAAATTCCTAGTGCCTTAGTATTGAAATTAGATCATGGATTTTTCACTTTCTATGTATGCCAAAACTTGTGTGAATTATTATAGGTACATAACGAAAAATAACATACTGCTCTATTAAATTAATGTCTTTGGAAATCAGTATATTCTTAAATCATACTTTTTAAAAATGTATACTTTATATAAAGCAATGTTGAATTGAAAAAATATTTGGAAGTTTGTGGTTACTGTTCAGTGCTTTACAAATATTTACAAGTGGGCAATCTGAAGCATTTGTATAATAAACTTAATTGATTTTTAAAATAATAGTTTTCTCAGTGTATGTCATGTCCTAATCTTGGCTTCTCTTCATCAATAGTTATGTTCTTATACCATTAGGAAGCTATTTTTTAAAATAAGTATTTTATAAATATATTCAGAACAGGTCCTTTGCTGCAAGTCACCTTGTAATTTTTGAATGTTTGGGATGAAAAATTGTCTTCCAAGGGCAGAATGGTTTTGCATGCAACCTAGATGCACATGCACAGATGAAGTTTCTCTCACTCGCCGCTTGCACAGCCTGGTTTACAACAGGCCCTGGACTGGTACTGGTCTGCAGCCTGGAGATTGAAGACCTCTGATTTATAGTACACACCCTTATTCTAAACTATCTTAAAGATACTTTCTTGAAGAAAGTGTTTATATTAACTAAGCATGTTCTACTCTTGAATCTGCTGAGGTGATAGTTGAATAGATCATCATTGCATATGCCACGATGCAACCAACAAAACAATAGCTCATGTCCTGTTGCAGTGCCCACTATATCAGGACTGGCAGTCTACATTCCTGCGCTTATTCCTTGCCAGGTGCAGGGAACCATGTTTAACGTTAGTTTTTACTAGCAGATATTTTCCACGGAAAAGTCAACATATGCCACAAGTTTCTGCTCAATGGACTTAAACTCATTCCAATCTGGACTGACCAGCCGCGGTAGCACAGTGGTTAGAATATAGTATTTCAGGCTAATTCTGCTGAATGCCAGCAGTTTGGTTCCCATGGGCTCAAGATTGACTCAACCTTCCATCCAAGGTTGGTAAAATGAGGACCCAGATTGTTGGGGGCAATAGGCTGACTAACTGCTTAGAGAGGGCTGTAAAGCACTGTGAAGTAGCATATAAGTCTTAAATGCTATCGCTATCATTTAGGGGACTACACTGCTAATTTGGTGGTATCTAAGTTTTGTTGCTTGTCACTTTTTTTTAACTGTTGAGGTTTATATATATATGAGTCTATGTGTTTTGACTTATCCCATTTACTCTCTATGAAACAAAAGACCAGGCTCACTTTGGGCACATTCGACAAAAACCTAGTGCTCTAGAGAACTTTATCATGCTGGGAAAGATGGAAATAAAAAGAAGACAATTGGCAGCAAAGTAGATGAATTAAATTACAGCAGCAATGGGTTCACTGTTGGAAAATCAGAAGAACCATGTTGGGGGCAATCCTAAAGAAAGTCAACCTACATGATTGCTAAGGCAAGTTTTGGGGAAAATGTTCAACAGGATTTGTCTTGAACGTCATTGGCTACAACACTGTTACAGTATGAAATGTCAACTGCAGTCACTAAGAATTGGCACTGACTTGATGGCATTTAAGCAGGTGAACAAGCAACAAAATAAAAGTTTGTTCTAGGATTATATCTTTTCTGGTAATCTCTGGATTTTCTCTTATTGCTGCATCCACATAAAATGGCAAGTGATAATTGCTTGCTCGGTCAGGGTAGTACAATAAATTCAGCACCACAGACTTATCCTAAATGTGTGGATATGCTTTCATTTCTTATTGGTTGCTATCCAATTTTATCTTCCATGACAGTGACCATGCCCTGCTGCTTCTGCATTTCTTTGTATTTGTTCATCGGCTTTACTAAGAGTGACTAAACCGATGTTTTATCCCAATTCTATAGGTAGTCTTTGAAAGACTGTTCTGTCTTCTAATCCGGTTATAGAGCTCGAACACTGTATATGTCTGTGCTCTCTGTATTTTATCTTAACCATGCAAGGCGGCTAAGTTTGAGCACTTCCTACTTTAATCACAACGCAACTACTGAGTAAACATACATGGTATGTATGGTATTGGTAAATATTGTAAAGGAATACGGGGACTTTTTCAGTTCTACTCAAGCGAATGACTGACTACAGTACACAGCAAAAACTTTTCATTTCACGTTTTACAGATACGCGTAGAAAAATATAACTGACGGCATGCTTTTTAATTTGGGCTGTCATCTGGGCTGCAAAAATAGGGACAACCACAAGGAGTGATGGAGAATTCTAGATCAGTGTTTTCATTTAGTAGTCGTCCGGATTTCTGCCGCCTATATACGACAGCGCTATTTCGATGCGTTACCAGTTTAGAATGGATAAACTCACCTTCGGAATTGTGGAACCGAAGGTTCGGAAAGAAGATAGATTGTTCTTTATTATTTTTCTTTAAAATTAAAACATAAATGGATTATTAAACTCAGAGTTTAATAAAACTAAGTTCGTACTAAACCCGTGGCCAAGAAGAAGGGAATTATTCACAGCGGAGGCACGAATCCTGCCGGGGAACCCCTGGCAGATAGTACAGGCTGAAAGGAACCAGAGAGGCTTTCCCCCATACGCCACGAACTCGGAACTTTCGTCTCGCATGCGCCGGTTCCCGAGGACGGGTGTTTCAGTTGCACGAATCCCTGCCATGGCAGCAGCGGAGGGAAAGGACCCGCTCAGCTTCTTCGCGGCGTACGGCAGCGACAACAGCTCGAGCGGCGGCTCGGATGCTGAGGGCGAGGAAGGCTCCGGCCGGGAGGCCAAGGGCTCTTCGCAGCAGTCCCAGAACGGCACCCCGGAGGGGAAATCGCGCTTGCCTGGGCCGGACGAGCTCTTCCGCAGCGTGAATCGACCAGCTTTTCTTTATAATCCGCTGCATAAGGAGATCGATTGGGAGAGCCGGGTAGTGCGAGCTCCCGAAGAGGTCAGCAAAGATTCTTCCATTCCTCTGGGCGTATTTCTCCTGGCAGGAAAGGCTCCTGGCTAAGGAAACCCCAGGATTAGGCAGGCTTGAGAAAGAGGCTTCCCCTTCTAAGTCAATGTAGCATAAACACCAAAGGTTAACTCTGTTTATTTATTTGTTTATTTATTTGTCAGAAGCTTACAATACAACAGAAACAAGAATAAACATAAGTTTAAATACAAGAAATAGGAAATAATAATTGGGGACAATAGGACAGGAACTGTAGGCACGATTGTGCATTTATGCATGCCCCTTACAGGAATGTGGTGAGGTCAATAGAGGTTAGTTTGAGGGTAAAGGAGTGGGGATTTGAGCAAGTGACCACAGAATCAGGTAGTGAGTTCCAGACATTGACCACTCTGTTGCTGAAATCGTACTTCCTGCAATCGAGTTTGGAGTGGTTTACATTTAGTTTATATCTGTTGTGCGCTCTAGTGTTGTTGTGGTTAAAGCTGAAATATTCATTAGCTGGTAAGACATAACATATGATTTTATGTACTATGCTTAAGTCCAATCTTAGTCGGCATAGTTCAAGGTTGTCTAAGCCTAGAATCTCAAGTCTGGTACTGAAGGGTATTCTGTTGCGAACAGAGGAATGTAGTACTCTTCTGATAAAATACTTCTGGACTCGCTCAATTGTATTTATGTCTGATATACAGTGCGGATTCCAGACAGCAGAGCTGAATTCAAGTATTGGTCTAGCAAAGGTTTTGAATGCCCTAGTTTGCAAATCAGTATTACTTCATAAAATTAAATTTACAACTCGTAAAGCCTTTTTGGCAATACTGTTGCAGTGAGCTTTCGCGCTTAGGTCATTCGATATGAGAACTCCAAGGTCCTTGACAGAATGAGGTCATCAACAAGGTCATATCTATCTAGCTTGTATTTGGTATATAGATTTTTTTTACCAATGTGTAGGACAGAGCTTTTGTTGGTAGAGATTTGGAGTTGCCAACTGTTAGACCATTCAGATACATAATCAAGGTCTTTTTGAAGGAAGATAGCATTGACGATGGTGTTGAATAGTTTTACATCATCAGCAAATAGGACGCAGTTGCTAATAAGGTGATCACAAAGGTCGTTTATATAGAGTGTAAAGAGTGTGAGTGCTAGAATGCTCCCTTGGGGGACACTGCTGATAACTGGTGCAGAGTTTGATAGGGCGTTTCCTATTTTTACTATTTGTTGCCTGTTTGACAGGAAGGCAGTAATCCACTTGTGAAGGGATCAGGAAATGCCGTAAGAATTTAATTTTAATAGTAGTTGACATATACCACTGAGTCAAATGCTTTGCAGAAGTCAATGTAAATTACATCTATTGCTTTACCCTGGTCAAGAAGTGTAGTCCATATGTTTTTGCAACGTAGAGGTTGCAAATTGCAGGACAATTTTTTCCTCAAACCAAATTGTTTATTGGAGAGTAAGTTGTTTGACTCTAGGTGGAAGGTAATGCATTGATTAATAATTGATTCCATAACTTTGCACGTGACACAACACAATGAGATTGGTCTGTAGTTTTCAACCAGGTAGGGGTCACCTTTTTTGAAAATAGGGGTGACCGTTGCTAAAGACTATAGGTTTGGTAAGGAGCTGGTTCTGAATGATAACTCATATATTATGCTTAGGGGTTTTGCTGTGGTAGTGGAAAGCTTTTTTAAGAACAATGCACATAACTCTGTAATATGGGATAGGTTTTCATGCATCTCAATTTCAGGCATCAATGAAACACATAGTGGTTTTGTGCCTAAAGCAGGACTAGAACTCAAGATCTTCCTGTCTGTAGTCTGATGCCTTAACTACTACACCAACTGTCCCTCTCTTGAAGGGCGAGCCCACACTAAAACAAATGGTCCCTGTGGTACACATTTTTTAATATCTCAAAGTGCTAAGTGAATTGGAATGACTTCTCAATTCAATGTTGTTGTTACTTTGTGCAGGATATGGGGCATGAAACTTTGCAGTCTTATGGGATGTGAGGTGAACATTCTCTGTTTGCCAGATTATTTTATTTCATTTATTTTTAAACCATTTATATAGCCACCCATCACTCAACCAAAGGCGCAAACTCAATCACAGTCAACATCCCTCCTGAGACATGGCTCTTGATCATACATAGAGCCAAGTTCCTTCATCCCTTCTGTTGGTTAGAGATAGAAAAAGTCTCCAATATTCTAACATGTGGTATTTCCTAAAGTGGTCAATATCAACCCCTAAGGATTGTTGTTATTATTGTTATTATTCTCATTCATAGTACTATTAACTACAATAATATTTACTATATTATTTTCATATACTGTAATATATGGGAGTTGGTGAACAGTTTGAAACTTCATGAAGGGATAAGTGAACTGAAGAGTTTCGTGATCCCTGGCCCAGGACATTGTAATTTTAAAAATTGCCATTTATCAACTTCTACATTGCATGTTTTCATTTTAATATTTAAAATTTTAAAAGGAGTTTTAATATTTTTGTCTACTCCTTTTTAAAATAAAGTTTTATTTTGCTTATCTGTTTTGAGAGTGATTTACAACCTTGGGGAGAGGAAGACCTAAAACACTTTACTTACCAACCTCCATGCAACATAACAAGGATAAAGCACTACAGACATTATTTCCACTTTTTTGTAACTTGACATTTTAAACGTTAGAAAATTAGCACATGATGGACTGTATTTTTTATGCCATCTCCCTCTCAAACATTAAGGATACCCTCAGGAAAAAAGATGGTCAACATAGGACATAGCAAACCGTAGTTCCAAAGAATGTGATAAGGCCAGATTTCTAGGAAAGAGAGCTTGGCACCATCAGCCTTCCATTCTAGTGACCTTAGTTAGCTGCTACGTGATAGAATTTAATAATGTTTTTTTACATTAATATTTCTTATTATTTTTCACTTTTTCTCACCGTGAGTCATTTTCTTACAGTGAGTATTTTGTTTAAGCTATTTGTATATCTAAATAGAACTAGCATAAATGTTAAATGCTTATTACAACTTGGCTAGATTTTCAGATGTAAGAGTAATTTGTATCTGTTATTGTCATACCTTTGAAATATCCTATTTCCTATACTGGTCTTTTCATATTTCTTTCAACAGCCTCCTAAGGAATTCAAGGCATGGACCACAAATGCTGTGCCTCCCCCTGAGACCTATGCTATCAAAGAAAAAAAGCCCCCACCTCCTCCTGAACGTGATATGGCAATCAAATGGTCCAATATCTATGAAGATAATGGAGATGATGCTCCAAAGCATGTGAACAATGTACATTTCTTACCAGAAGAAGAACAAGAAAATGTTGAATCAGGTAATAGTGTTGAATTGTATTCAAAATAAATAATGTTGGCTGTTTTTATGTATGATTCCTTTAATAATAGGAAAAATATTTCTCTGTTTGAAGATTGGCATCTCTTATATGAATTATGCAGAATAGTTTTGAATCCAGTTATAATGTTAGTAATATTAAACTTAATCCTACACTTGATGGCAGCTTCTAAAATGAAATGTAGAAAGTCCAAATCTTTTTCTTTGCACATTCTTATGCATATTTTGAGTAGCATGATTAATGCATTCAATTTTATATACCTAGGTGAAATTCTGTATTCCTAGGGAATTTTTTTTACTAACAACTAATAGTATTTCTTGCTTGCCATAGAGTCATGCTTCTTAATGTCTAAGCATAGCCTTATCTACCTGTGTCTAAAGATGATGAAAGATTTGAAATTGAACTTGCTTTTAATAAACAGGAACAGTATTTAAAGATCAAATGAAACAATAAGTTCTTAGAGAAGGGAAAAATTCAAAACTCATGCCACCTTGGTGCTGAAATAGTCTTTCCCAGTCTCAGGCCCTGGCTGTGGTTAAAGTCTAACACAGTGTTTCTCCAACTTGGCAACGTTAAGATATGTAGACTTCAACCCCACAGTTAAAAGTTGTCAAGTTTGAGAAATATTGGGCTAACACACCTGAAAAACACCAGATTGTAAGCCAGGTTATAGGACGCTTAGTTCGAATGTCCACAAGAGCGATCTGTTTAGCTTCTTTTCAAGCATTACCATTGATGGAAAGCCCTTAGTCATTGAATTCATAGTTGGACTGTTGTTATGGCTAAGGAAGATTCCGTAATCTCCATTCCTGTAACTTCTTAATCAATTCTTAAGCAATTCGATGATGAAGAGGCTAAGAAGGATTGGACCTGATTAATATTTGGATGATTGATTATTACAAAATTCCCAGGCCTGTGGTCTAGATTTGGTCATTGGGGGGGGGGGGGGGGGATAATCCAGGAAATGGCAACAGCTTTGAACTGCCTTTGTATTGATGCCAATAAGGCTGCATGGATGCCAGACAATGTAGTCATCAAAAGCTGATACTATTGATAATATTTTCCACATGTGGCTTTTAAAAACTTTGGCTTACATCACTATCTCTTCTTTGAAGATGCTGAAAAAGATGAACCCAGCTCAGTTAAGAAACGCAAATTAAACCCTGACGAGCAGTCAAAGAAGAAAAAGCAATGATGAATTGGACAAAGACTGATGAGTTTATCAATCAAAGTTGTAAAAGTTCTGATTTGATTGATGTTTGATGTAAATGTCAAGTCTATTAATGCAAATGTTTCTAGTGGAAACCTTTTAATTGCAACACAACTCTTTAAATATGTTGTGGTAAGTACAGTATTTTTGTTCATAAAGACTTTGGAAGTTTGTCATATTCTCTTCCTGTTTAAGACAGATTCTTGTGACACTATAAACTGTAACATACAAGGTATAAATTTGTTGCATTTGAAGTTTAATACTTGGAGCAATAAGCAAATATAAAAACTACCATGTTTCTTAGAAAATAAGACAGGCCTTATTTTCTTTAGACCCCTGAAAAAACAGCCAGGCCATCTTTTTGAGGGATGTCTTTATCTCCCCCCCCCCCCCCATGCGCTTCGCCTAGCCACCGGGCCACTTCTATCGCAGCTGAAAGGAATGCCCCGCACGCCTTGCCTCTCCACCAGGCCGCTTCTTTTGTGGCCGCCCACTAAAAGGAATGCCCCACGTGCACCCTTGACTCTCCACTTGGGCCATTTCTGTAGGGCCTCAAGCTTAGCACAGACTGAGGGAAGAATGGCAGGCAAGAAAATTCTCCCTCTCCATTTTCCTCCCGTTCTCCAAAAAGCCTCCATTCCAAAACATCAGCGTTCGGAATGGAGGCTTTTTGGCAAACAGCAGGAAAATGGGGAGGGGAATTTTCCTGCCTGTCATCCATTCCTCAAGCTCCTTCTCTCCCCCCCATTTTCCTGCCTTTCACAAAAACGGCTCCACTCCAAGCCTTCAGCGTATCCCAGGACCCTGCAAGGCTTGTAGCGTTGTGCATGCAAGCGGCGGCATTGCTGCGAGGTTCATCACATCGGCACAGCCTCTTCAGGCACGACCCTGCAAGGATTGCTGCGCCATTGCGCATGCGAGCGCTGGGATCGCTGCGAGTTTGGATACACTGGTGCTGCTGCTCACAGCAGGATGCCAGCTGCACCAGTGTGATGAAGCTCACGGAGGTGCTGCCATTTAATGAGTGCAACGCCACAACAAGCCTTTCAGGGTCCTGCTCCAAGAGGAATGGATAACAGACAGGAAAATTTCCCTCCCCATTTTCCTACCTTTCGTGAAAACAGCTCCACTCTGAGTCTTCAGCGTCTCCCAGGATTGCAATGCTGAAGGCTCTATTCCAAACCTTCAGCGTTGCAATCCTGGGGTACGCTGAAGGTTTGGAATGCCTCTGCTTCAGCACAGAACAACATTTGTCCCTCTCTGCATCCGAACAGTTGTCCCCCCATGCCCGCGCCACCACTTGTGCCGGCCATGCCCATCCCCCGGGTTTATTTTCAGGATAAGGGTAATATTAGGCCCACCCCAACAAAACTTAGGATTGGCTTATTATTGAGGTGGGTCGTGTTTTCTGAGAAGCATGGTACTTACACATGAGCAGTGATGATATATGAAATGTAAATGTAATAATTGTTTACTGGACTACTATTGTGATAGATTTTTTTCTTAAAAAATATGCTATTTTGGGGGGGAAGGAGAGTTTTTAACTGCATTGTGGTGAAAATGAATTGTTTTTCAATGTTTTTCAATAGTTTTAAAATAAAACTGCATGTCTCAAAGGTACATTTATTACAAATTTCACTGATTGAAATTGTAACTGAAAACTATTTCTCTGTAGTACCGGTATTAGACAAACTTGTTTACTGTATATAAAGTACAGTAACTTGGAGGTTAAATTCAGAAATATTTTCCTTCATAGTTTGCAAGGGAGTTCAGCACAAGCAGCTAACTCTAGAAACAGTCTTTTAACAGCCATACAAATAAAAGTATGGTTTTAGGGAGATAAATATCTCACAATATTAAGTGAACAGGATTTATGTTAGATTTTCGTTAAACCCCATTTGCCTTTGCCCTTGAGACCTGTCTTGGCCTGCAATCATGGATCAAATCTTTGATGTTTACACAGAATTTCTGCCTGTGAACCCATTTGTTTTATATAGTGTTCCTTTGGTTTTATATTACAAATTGACTTGCTGTTGTCCAATAATTATCCCAAGATTGCTTAGGTAATTTCGATAACGTACTAAAATATATCTCTAAAGAAGTAAAAGTGATTGCCCCTTGTTTATAGCCTAGGAACTTCAAGGCTACTTCCCATAGTATGAATTAATTCCGTGGAATTAACTCATACAATGGGGTACTCAAGGCTTTCTATTGATTTTTGTTTCAGTTCATATTTAGGTTATTTGCTCTGCAGAATATCTCCAAGCTCTGATTTAGAAGTTGCTGTTTTTCTTGTTATATTTCCAACTTTATTTTTAGTATGTCAGTCTTAAAAACTTGTTTTTCTGTTTAAACCATGTTAAGAACAGATTGCGCAATTAATGATATTCATGGGCACAGTTCAAGTAATTAGAAATAAACTTTTACATTTCTCCTCTTTTTATACGCCCCCATATAAAATAAACTTTGCTCCCACTTTGGTAGTATATGAAATAGAACTTCTTTCATACTGTATCCCATTTTTGGGATACAATTCTGTATGAAATAGAAATACAATTATATATAGAAAGAGGATTAAGATGCTTCAATTGTTAATTGACAAAGAAAAATACAGGGATATATAGCATTACCAGGAATTATTTCTTCCATACTTTTGATGTGTGTTTTTATATATATTGTACCTCTATATTTTCTGAAGTGAATTGTTTTTAAACAGGTAGAAATTATACTGTATCTTCATGTGAGATGTTATCTTGTTTGTTCATTTATTTAATAAACTGCATCAATTTCAATTATTATAGATGATGTACAAGAGCAATGGCAACATTCAGTTTCAGAGTTAATGTTAATACAAGTGCTTTCAGATACTTTAATAGACTTTTTAAAGGGATGTTTGATATTTTCAAAAAATAATGTAACTGCAAAAGAATGGCCAAGATCTGGGAAATAATACCATATTTCAAAAGTAACTGAATTTAACTAAAATTGGAAATATTTTTTAGATTATAACTCTATAATAGTTTGTACATGGGTCGAAGAGAAATTACTGTAATTGTAATTCAAGTATTGAGAACCTCTGGAACTGTAAGTTGCAAGGAATTCACTGGGTGAGCTTCCTTCAATTTGTAATGGAATTCACTGGGTGAGTTTCCTTCAATTTGTAATGAAAGGGTATTTTATTTTATTTTATTTTATTTTGAATTAACAGCAAAAGGGCAATCAAAGTGTTGGTTTTAGAAAGTTATAAATGGACTAGGAGTTAATACCTAGTTAAATATCTTAATAGCTTTAAAAAATGACCCAGATTTCTGACAGACAATTGGGTATTTTCTGAGATACAATCTAAAAATAAGGTGAAGTAAGTTATATTTTAATAATAACCAGATATTCCTGTGTTGGACTGCGATACAAAAATAAGTTAGGAGATTTTTCTTAAATTAATTTTAAAAACATAAAAAGAGACTGTTTCACTTAGCTGTTAACTTCATTCAGTTTTTTTGATGATTTAGGGAAACTATTTCAGTATTTATTATAGCTGAGACTATAGATAAGGTTGTAATTGCTGGGAACAAAAGAAAGCTTTAAACACACCCATGGTATGTATATTCTTTCTGGCATTGATTTAAACAAAAGTTGGGGATGGAGTATCTTGTTTATCCTTTTAAAAACACTGCAGGAACTGTTCTAAATGCAACAGAGTAACAATTCCCTTTTTCCTACTGGAAGCACATCCTCCTGTATGAATGCCCAATTTCTTCTCCCTGTTAAACAAGAGTAAATAGAAATGCTAATATGTCTGTAAAAGTAGTGCTCATTCATGTAGCATGTGCCTTTGCTAAAAAGAAGCCAGATGAAAGCATTCCAACTTTGGGAACCTGGCTTGTACAAAAATGCAAACTGCTTGCATTTGGCCCATTTGGAAGCGACAGATGTTCTGCTTGGGCAGTCTGTGTTCTCAGAGAACAATAAATGTAGTAAATAACCTGGATTGTTGTGTTCTTTCGGGCATCAATGAGAATCTACCCGCCAAAATGGACTGTTGACTCCCTCCATTCGCAAAACGTTCTGGAAAACGTTGTTGAGCTAGGAATTGGTTAATAGTCCACATCTTTTGTGTGGAAAAGATTTCTTGTTCAGTACTCTGCATTTCTATGTAAAACTGAGAAAGTTTTTTATCTTTTAAAGTCTGGGGGTTAGATGTCTGGCTGAACCAGATGAGCCTATCAACTACATAACCTAGCAGAAAATGCATGTTTTAAATTCCTCTTTCCTGTTCAGCGGCAACACACTTGCACTTGGCTTCTGAACCTACAGTGATTTTGACTACTGTGACAGATTGGATTTACAACAGATGAAATGCAGAACAATAAATGAATAAGCAATTAAAGATGATAAATGAATAAATATATTACATATTATGGCCCAAACTGTTAGAAGGAAATTTATTCCACTAGAGGGTGCTAGTTGCTGCATTAATACTTTCCCATTCAGTTAAAAAGTCTTAATAATGCAAATTACTACTGTTGCTGTACAGTCTTCCAAGAACCATGTTATCTTAAATGCAAGTATGATCCAGAAATTTGCTTAATAGTCTTTGCTAAGTTTTTTTATTTGTTCTAGTCACTTTTTAAATTTTATTTGTTCTAGTCTTTTATGTATTTCAAATAGCCATGTTTGCATTTCTTAACTCAAAAAAGTATCTATAGATAATGATTTAACTTTTAGGTTTCAATCATTTGAGGATTGAAAGGGAAAGGTGTTTGGGATTCAAGCCCTTCCAGCCTTAGTTCTTTATTTGCACTTTGCTTTCAGCATGGAGTACAAGGTTCATTTATGTATAAAACATTTTTTATATTCCCAAACAGAAAAAAAAACTTCGAAGCAGTCTACAATATTGAAAGCATAAAATAAATGTATGACTTAAGCATATTTTTTGTGTCAGTACATTACACACACACACACACACACACAAACACCACACATTTGTATAGTATAGGTTTACATTAAAAACCTATCAAAATGTTCAGATCTTTAATGTCCAGTCTGGTCTGGAAGTTTATTCTGAAAATCTGGGGGGGGGGGGGGGATTCCTTTCTTTCATATCCCACCACTGAAGAGGAAATATCTATCCATTGAAAAAAATCAAGCATATCCATGTAGGTGTGAACAGTCCATCAAATAATTTAGTTACAATTTAAAAGGCAAGTACCAAGCACAAACATAAAACCATACTCATAAAGGTATTCATAAATGACAACCAAGAATGATCTATACGTCACAATTTTTCTTCCACAGAGCACCAAACCTTTGAGTTTGTAGTTATGTGAAGAATATATACTGTCTACCTTGGTCAAATCTGCAGCAGACTTTGAATTATATTTCCTTTGCTGCATCAAAATATTTGCTGGGAATCTGCTCCTTGTCTGATATTGTAGTCCATGCACCTTTTGTTTTTTGTCTAAGAAAATCTTGAGAAAAAGCACTCTTCTTCAGCACGAAAGAGAAATTTTTCTCACATATGGAAAAAGAGTATTTCTGTGATGATGAAATTTCCAAGGCTAAATGAAATATTTCCCCAGAAAAAAACATATTTTGGGAAAATACATACATATTCTGGGAACACATACTGATATCCAGGAAGAAAACTGCTGTATCAGGAAAGATAGTAAAGTATGGTTTCAGACATTAGATGCTAAAATACATGGGGTAATTGCTCCTGAATCTTCTATGGCCAAGTTGCCTGAACCACATAAACTGTTCATAAACCTAGTGGTGAATAATATCAGTAATATATAAGGAAGATTCATCTGCCAATCC